TATATATACACTGTTTATGTGTATATAAGTTGCTTGTACGTACCTACTACTTCAATTTCCATTCTGACAAGTGGGTCAAGATTAGGTGAACCAAAGGCATCAAGCTCATTGTTAACAAGCTTTGTGACACGATTGCCTCGAAACAGCTTGTAATCAAAATATAATGTTACCTAAAAAAAATCAACAATGATGAACCCAAGACCTTGCTGTCTATGGTGTTGGGGCCACTTAACAAAAATTATTTTATCATTTTTTCACCATTTAGACAAGTGAATCTGTAACTTTGATAATAACACTATAAATTACAATTATAATATTATTTGTTAATATTATAAATAATATTGTCATAATAACAACACAATAGCAACAATAATAATTATTAATTGTCATTTCTCTAACCTCTGGAATAACATAATGTCCAGCAAGGTACAGGGCTCCAAGTAAATTCTCTCTACCGTCACTGCGGGTTTCTTCCAATGGTACCTGAGAACCAGTCAAGATGACTGGCTTACCAAGGTTCTCAAACATGAACGAAAGTGCCGATGATGTATAGGACATGGTGTCAGTACCGTGTATGATCACAAAGCCATCAAACTTCTCATAGTTGTCACGGATGTCATTGACCATTTCAACCCAATCATCCATAGTAATGTTACACGAGTCCTTGGGTACTGGATATTCGCAAATACAGTACAGTACTCGTCTATTGTGAGCATTACACAATCTGAAAATATTGATTATTATAATAATTATTATTGTACAGTATTATAATATATATTATGGTACAGTATATTATATCAGGGGTCCAAAGTTGGAAGAAGCTACTTCCAGGAGAATTCTTTCTATCAAATCGTATTTTGCTGCTCATCGATGGATACTATTGACAATATAGTAGTAAATACACACAAATAATCCTAGAAGATGGGTGAATAGTAAGGTAAAATCATGCATCATAAGCAAAAGGAGACAATGTTTTGACTGTAAAAGTTATTGCTTGTACAATTTTGATTGATCTTTCTATTGTTATTTTACTGAATAAATAAAGAATAAATTAATACAATTACCCAGTAACAATGAAAATGATCATAAAATGCTTGGGTGCAAAAGCTTTGACTTTAGAAACATTAGACTGAATTCAATGAGTTTTTGTGGACTACTCCTGTAGTGGAGTAGCCTTTGTCAATGCATATTTATATCAATCTTTTATCTAAGTTGACAGATGTCCTTGAACTATTATAGATGACCAGACTTTCTTGTTGTGCATGGCTACCTTGTAGTCTGCAAACCAATCCAATGTCATGTTTAAGAAAATCCATCTAGATTGGTTCTTTCCAGTCAGTGGTTCACATCCTGGGGTTTGCCAAGTCAAAATGTTGGCAGGGGTCCGCGAAAAAATGTTGATTTTAGACCAATTTTTCATGATTCCATTATTATTCTTTTCTTACAACAGCGTAATAAACATCCTACAGCTAGTCATTAGGAGCCTTAACAATAATGAAATAGGTTTGATATTGTGCTTTTGTGGTACTTTATCAATTTTATCTATCTTATTATCCTATTCGTAGAATATCTAAAATGAGTTAATATAGACTTTGTAGACTGTGAAGACGAATAAAAAAATTGAATGAATGAGCATACGGTAGGGCATAGGTTTCTCCTAGAGTGGGATTACATCTCCTTAACTTCTCGGCATACTCGGCATCGTGCAAGGTTGGGTTTCGCCGTACTGCTTGACTAAAGAAGTCCTTCTGTGGCACATAAACTGTAACGGATATACAAAATGTTAGGTTACAACCAATTTTCTTTTTCTAATTCCAGATGTATTAGACTAAATTTTTTCTTCTCAGAAGTCAAAAATATTATGTGCTGCCCAGCTAACAATATTACACTATAACCAGCCATATGTACGTAATTATAACCTAATTTCGCTCCCTGGAAGCCACGGATATTTGATGGATTATGGCGAATTTTTATTACTTTTTTTATAGGCATCGAGTTACTATAGTATGGCTTCATGTAGGCCTAGGCTATCCTTTCTAATGTTGAAATCAGCTTCCAAAACCAAAACATTTTGAATAAAGCAAGAAACAAAGAGTATGCAATGTAACCATCTGATTTATTTTCAAATCCTCATTCTTGAAAGTGAAATTCTATGTTTTGGAAATTTTGCATGAAATCTGTCAACCACGCTGTCATGGTCGAGGTTGCTTCACCTATCACGATGTTTCCAACCATCATGAGGCTATCTAAACAGAACGTAAAATATTTTTAATTAGTCTCATTGAATTATTATTATTACTATTATTATTATTATTATTATTGTTGTTGTTGTTGCGATGAAAACACAAATAATATGGTGGCTAAACGAATATTAGACCTACATGTAAATATTTTTTTATAGCCCCCAGCCCCCTCTGGCGCCACCACTGTGCCCAACCACAACAATTAAATTCTAAAATAGGACGAACTAAAGACTTGTATAATATTAAAAACGTCCTTGTCATTATAAATGAATGTTCTTTTTTTAAGACCTACCATTCTGTTAGCGTTAGAAACTGAAATACTCATATGCTCATCAAATTTCAAATTACTATCAAAATGCACACCAAGGTCTTTTTCTAATAAAGTTTCTTCTATGTTAACACGTGACTCATTATCTTGTATTAAATAATCACATTTCATGTTCCTTCTTCCAACATACAGAATCTTACATTTCTTCGGATTAAAAGGTAATTGCCATGTATGGGACGATTCAAACATATTATCCAGTGAAACCTGCAAATTACGTCTAGATTTACCATAAACAAATACTGTACTTTGGTGTCATCTGCAAATATTTTCACTTCTGACATTGCAACTTCCGGTAAATCATTAATAAAAATAAAAAATAATAACGGGCCAAAAACCCTCCCTTGGGGTACCACACTATAACATCTGACCAACCAGAAAATGTCCCATTTACCACAACCCTTTGACGTCTTCCATTTAAAAATTTCTGTATCCAACGATAAATTTTTCCTGTGATACCATAAGCTTAAACTTTCTTTAATAACCGCAAATGTGGAACCGAGTGGAAAGCTTTTTTAAAATCCAAGTAAGCAATATCGATATCTACCATCATCTCCACAAGTCTGGACCAACATTCGACTACTTCTAACAACTGGGTAGATGTGGATCTCCCTGCTCGGAAACCATGCTGTTGTTCAGATAAATCATTTACAACCAAATGATTAATAAATTGTTGTCATTGTATTTTAATATTGTATTTTATTTATATATGAATGAATGCTAAAAAAAAAATCGAGTAAAAAGTAAAAGTAAATATTAAAAATCATTAACTTTACATGAAGAAGGAATTCCCAACAAAGCAAAATTATACTTGGCTCGAAAGCACAATAGTAAAAATTAATGTAAAAATGTTTATGACAAAAAGAGAGACACACACTACCAATCATCTAGTCTCTGGCCTCTCTTCTTATTAGATAGATAATCTTCAATTAGTTAGTGTAGTAATTATCGCCTATATATACCGTATACTGTGATATAAAAGGTACCGAGTGGAGCTTACCTTATCCAATGGGATATCTAGCTTTGAGGCGACAATACTCCAATAATATAAACGAACACAGCAGTAGTACCCACAGCGCAGGCAATTATACTCCTGTGAAGACTCGGACACCAGATACACATAAACAAATCCTGTAGCGTTAGCTAGGTATGATGCGTCTTGCATAAAGTCCAGTGTACGAGTGACTAAACTCACCAGGTACCCCTGGTCGGCTGTGCAGCACACCCGGCTGCTGTCTCTTATACACATCTAGATGTGTATAAGAGACAGATCATACTCATCAAAACTTCCCTCACT